GATCGAGAACGAGCCCCTGGGCACCGCCGGCCCACTGAAACTGGCCGAAAAGGTTCTTGCCAAGGACGACGCCCCCTTTTTCGTGCTCAACTCCGACGTCACTTGCGAGTACCCTTTCAAGGAGCTCGCCGCATTCCACAAGGCGCACGGCGACGAGGGTACCATCGTCGTAACAAAGGTCGAGGAGCCGTCCAAATATGGTGTCATCGTCCACAAGCCCAACCACCCCTCCCGCATTGACCGCTTCGTCGAGAAGCCGGTTGAGTTCGTCGGCAACCGCATCAATGCCGGCATCTACATCCTGAACACATCGGTGCTCGATCGAATCGAGCTCCGACCGACCTCCATCGAGCAGGAGACATTCCCGGCCATGGTTAAGGACGGCCAACTCCACTCTTTCGACCTGGAAGGTTTCTGGATGGATGTTGGCCAGCCCAAGGATTTCCTGACGGGTACCTGCCTGTACCTCTCCTCCCTCACGAAGAAGGGCTCCAAGGAGCTCACACCGCCCACAACACCTTTTGTGCACGGTGGCAACGTGTTGATTGACCCCTCAGCCAAGATTGGCAAAAACTGCAGGATAGGACCGAACGTCACAATTGGTCCCGATGTCGTCGTTGGTGACGGCGTCCGTCTCCAGCGCTGCGTGCTTCTCTCTGGGTCGAAGGTCAAGGACCACGCCTGGGTCAAGAGCACCATTGTTGGCTGGAACAGCACCGTTGGCAAGTGGGCTCGTCTCGAGAACGTAACAGTTCTCGGCGACGACGTCACCATCGGTGACGAGATCTACGTCAACGGCGGTAGCATCCTGCCCCACAAGACCATCAAGGCCAACGTCGACGTGCCTGCTATCATCATGTAAGCCGATAATGACACGCCATTGTCGAGCTTCTTTCACCGCTTTCCCGTTACGACGCAAGCAACTTTCCGAAGCAACAAAATTTATATATCGATTCGTAATATCATACGACTTCTGAAAACCCCTCCCCTTATACTTCTTTCTGATCGATTCCTTTTCCCAAAATTACCTAGGGTGAAAGGGCGGAAGAACACGGCGGCTTATACTAGACGGGATACGTCAGGCCCAAGAGATGACCATTTGCACCATTTCAGCCTTTGGGCGGTTGGATCTTGGGCACGACGACATCGAATGGGGGAAATGACTAATTGTAGGCATAGAGGGGGGTTTACATTTCCCGGATCGGATCTACAACAATCCTGGTCAGCGGCGGCATGGTGGCTTCTGGGGGATGAGGATGTGGATGGGGACGTGTTGATCTGACCGTCCGGGTGGTGGCTGCTAATTCTTCCTGACTTGAGCGTTGGTGTATCTACATTTGCCTGTATTTGGCGACCCCTGGAGCTGGCTCTCGTTTATGTCATTTAAAAATGGTGATGTGGGTGGATGCATGCATGGGAACGGGTCATGGTGGTAGTGGCGATGGTCACTGTCGTGTGGACGGGAGTGGCCATCGTAAGTAGAAGTCCGGTTTAGGCTCGGGCGGCTTGTGCGGACGGTCCAAAATTGAAACCCAACTCTTGATGTCAATTCGTTCCCGTTGTCACTGTTTATACTTGTGAGGCCATGACATGGTTGACTTTGGTATCGTCTCTGGGGAGTTTCCAAGGCAACCTCAACTCGATTGTCTCGTATAATCAATTTGATGCTACCTCCAGGCTACCAACACAATTGAAACGAGAACCCGATTAGAATACGTAAGTGAAACAAACAAACACTACTGTCGACTAGGTAGGTAAAGTACAAGAAAAAGAAAAAAGAAAACAATTGTTACGCCCCTCCCTCCCTCCATCAATGCAATGCGATGCTAGCTAGGTATTGTTACAAACCGACGAAACCCGAACCTAAATCTCACGTAACACAGCACAACACAGCACATAACGGGATGGTGGTATCCCGTGTGCCCTTCCCCATCCACGACATAACATTAACAAGACAAAAAAAAAGGGAGGGGGGATCACTCCTCCAAGTGATCAACATCCCTCACCCACCCCCGACTCATCTCCACAGCCTGATTCCACTTATTAAACAGCTTGTCCGCCTGCTCCTTGGGCATCTGCGGGTGGAAAATCCGTCTCCCCGCCCTGTTCACCGTGCGCAGGTCATCCAGTTCCTTCCACACGCCCGTAGCCAGACCAGCAGCGATGGCTGCGCCCAGCGCGGTAGTCTCGCGCATGACAGGGCGGTCGACGGGGATCCCGCTGACGTCGGCCTGCGTTTGCATGCACAGGTCGGAGTTGGAGAGGCCGCCGTCGACAGCGAGGGACTCGAGCTTGTGGTTGGAGTCCTTCTCCATGGCGTCGAGGATGGCCTTGGTCTGGTAGCAGGTGGCCTCGAGGGTGGCGCGGGCGATGTGGCCTTTGGAGGTGTGCTGGGTGATGCCGAAGAGGGTGCCCTTGGCGTCGTCGATCCAGTAGGGGGCGAAGAGGCCGCTGAAGGCGGTGACGAAGACGACGCCGCCGTTGTCGGAGACGGACTCGGCGAGCTCGGTGATCTGGGCGGACTGGTCGACGAAGCCGAGGTTGTTCATGAGGAACTTGACGCCGGCTCCTGCGACGGCGATGCTCCCCTCGAGGGCGTACGCGGGCTTGCGGCCCTTGCCGAAGTCGTAGGCTACCGTTGCCAGGAGGCCGTACTTGGAGATGACGGGCTCGTTGCCGACGTTGTAGAGCAGGAAGCAGCCGGTGCCGTATGTGTTCTTGGCTTGGCCGGGGCTGAAACCGCACTGGCCGACCAGGGCGCTAGACTGGTCGCCGAGACAGCCGGCGATGCGGATGCCAGCCAGCGCACCCCTTGCGATCTTGCCGAAGCACTCGGGGTCGGACGAGGGCACGATGCGTGGCAGCTGGATCTTCGTGCGGTCGATACCAAAGAAGCTGAGTAGCTTGTCGTCGTACTGCAGCGTGCGGAGATTCATGAACATGGTGCGGCTGGCATTTGTGCTGTCAGTGACATGGATGGGCTTCTCAGCCTGGGCGCCGCCGTTGAGTTTGTATATGAGCCAGGAGTCGACGGTGCCAAAGGCGAGACGGCCCTCCTCGTATGCTTGCGCAACCGCGTCAACGTTGTCGATCAGCCAGCGCAGCTTGACACTGCTGGGATAGGTCGAGAGAGGCAGACCACACAACTCGGTGAGCGTGTCGGCGCCGTCGCGAGCCTTGAGGTCGCGAACAAGTGTCTTGGTGCGTGTGTCGGGCCAGACGATGGCGTTGTAGAGCGGCTCCCCGGTGGTGCTGTCCCAGACTACTGTCGTTTCGCGTTGGTTGGTGATGCCGATGGACTTAATATTGCATCTCGAGTAGCCCATCTCGGTGAACTTGCGCATCGCCCCCTCGATGCACTCCTCCACCGAGGCGAGGAGTTCGAGCGGTTCATGCTCATGCCATCTGCGAAGCTTGTTAGACTTGTTCTGCATGGAGAGGAGGGAGGGAGTCAAGTAAGCCATACCCTGATTTGGGATAGAGGTTCTCAAACTCTATTTGGTGGCTCGCGACGGGATCGCCCTCGCCATTGAATATGAGGAACCTCGAGGAGGTGGTCCCCTGGTCGATGCTGCCGACGAACCAGCCGTGCTTCAACTCCTCCTCCGTCTCGTGTATGCCCTGCGGCAGGTGCTCCTCGTGTGTAACAACCACGCCGTTCGTTTTCGAATCGTCTCCTCCTCCGTTCGCCCCGGTTTCCAATTCCCTCCCCTCCCCCTTTCCCACGTCCGACTTTACATCGACCGTCGACACGGTGGTGCCCTCTAAATGCGACCAGTCGGGCTGTCCGCCATCTCCCATGGTGAGTGGGGCCTGGAGGGTGTGCGCCTTGCTGTGGAAGCTGCTGCGACAGCTCGAGCCAAACGGTCGCCTTTGCTGTTGTTGGAATGCGATAAAGGCCTCGGCGCGGGGAAGAGGAGTGTTCGAAGTTGCGACGGCCGTCCAGCAGAATAACAGGCGGGAGGGTGAAGGGCTGGCGCGGGGTAAAGGGGCCCGGAGGAGGGGGGAGAGGGAACGGGATGGGCTGCGGGCTGCTACGTCAGAGGAGGCGTGGCCCTAGCTGCGCCGAACGCGAGCTTGCTTGAGCCGACCTCGTGGTGCGACCACCCACTGGCGGATCTGCGACTGCGCTGATCGAGCCGCCCCAAACGCGCCTCCAACGTGCCCGCTGGGCAGGAACGTTGCGCCGAATGCGCTGCTGGGCGTCAGAGCCCATGGTACCTGCTTTGTCCACATTTTTCTCGATCTGCCGGAGGCGGTCGCGGGCTACTGCTCCGGGCGTTGCGATTGTGCCTGCATGCAGACGATTTGGCACATGTCTCTCTTGATTTTTTTTGGAGTCAACCAAGACGGGGGATTGGTGGAACATTTGGAGGTTGCAGGGGTGTCGCTGTGCGGGGGGAACTCCAACGTCCACTTTCGGGGACTTTTCAGGGGCGGATCGATCGAGGCCTCGAACACTGCAAAGGTCGAGACCCTCAGAGCGAATTCCAGTTGGGCACCTATGCTGCGGGCCCATGTGTGAGCTGTTCGAGGCAGCTCGGATGAATTCGCGACTATCAATACGAATTATCAGATTGAATCCCCCTCCCTTGCGGCCGATCCAGGTGGTTCCAGACTGGCGGCGTTTTCCAGGATGCTTCCTTCCCCTGAATTGGCGTAAACAACCACGCCCAGTTTGAAGTCCAAGTTCTCCGCCAGTCCGCCATGTTTCCCAAGACGGTCAAAACCAAGCTCCATCTGACGCGGGCTCTCGAAATCTCAGAACAGGGCCGGAATCCAAACCAGAAAACGCTAATCCATCAAAGTTGCCACCATCAACTTGATCCTCGGCCTCGATCCTCAAAACCTTGGGAGCCGCGCGGTCAAGCGACCAACGGCCCGACGCCAACAAGCGTTTTGACCCGCGCACCTCCCAACCTCTACACAAACAAGCCCACCTCATACAGAATCTCGATCAAGACCAAACCAGCAAAACGAATGGCAATCGCCGGGAATTGAGCCCGACGTGGGGTACGAACCCACAACCTTGAGATGATCTCGTGAGATTCTGGAATATCTCCATAAGAGTCTCACGCTCTACCGATTGAGCTAGCCGGGCGGATGCCTGGGCGAATTGTAGAAACCCTGCTCGGAACATGGCTTGATATCGATAGAGACAGGCATGTTCACGATGTTGAAGAGACTCGCTCCCTGGAAGACCTGAGGGAGGCGAGTGCTGCTGGTGTCGTTGGATCTCGATCCTCCTTGTGCCGCTATACGTGAATGTCAACGGAAGGCTCGAGTCTCCGAGCTTCTTTTGCTCCGATCATTTATGACGAGGAGAGTACTAGAAGAGATATAAACCCTTGCTGGCACGAGCAGTTGGTATGTCCCCAGCAAAAAATGGCTTTTCTCAAGTCAGGCTGTGGTTACTATTAGATCTCTTTTCTGTGTTGAACCGAAATTGACCTGGTCCTGCTTTGTGTGTGACATGGACAAATATCTCTTCAAGAAATTGTAGACATGTTGACGGAATCTGTCTTGTTTCCCTCAAAGCGGGCGTAGCTTCACGGAAAGAAGACAAACAATGTGTAGTTGCGTGGAGGAGCTCTACTAATACCTATGTCGTGAGAACCAGAAATTAATCACAGACTAAAGTGAAGTTCAAATGGTCGAGCTGGAGAGAGGAAGAGGAAGAGATGAGGTGAAGTGTCTGTATCGGCCCGGAAGCTCAAATTTGCTACTGGCCGTCGAACCCCCTGACCTGCGCAGTTAGTTCTTTAATGCTTTCTCTGACTGCCGCTTTCTTGCAGTTCCCCTGAACCAAAACCATAGCATCCCATACGACCAATGTGGCGAGGACAGCAGGCTGGGAAATGTCAATACCTAAGTGATTTTTGACTGCGACTCCTTAAGTACAGAAGCACTTGTAACTCTTGTTGTCTCTGTTGTACTTCATATCCAAAAACCTGCAAAACTCTTGCGTGCAAAACAAAACCAATCAGATAAGTCAACCATGCATCTCAATTCATCCCGTTACAAAAGCAATCGTAGGTTTCCTATCCCCAAGCCTGTGCCTCGCAAACCCATACCACGGCAAATTGCCCCATGGACTCTTTTTAGCTATCCTGTCCCAGCATATCCGAGTGATGGCATGCCCTCCACCCACCCTCCTGCGTTCCAAATGCCATTTATCATAACTCCGTTAAACACCTGGCAGACAAAAGCCAAACCACCCATGAGGGGAGAAATGATCCGCCGTTCCAAAGCCAATCCGCCCGCTGGGAATATTGCGGGATCCGGCACCGAGACACCAACAATCCTTAACATAGTGTACAGCAGTCCCTGGACTACAAGCCAATTACGCCTTGATCCTTTCACTGCACTCTTTAATGTCCGCGTCGGTGTGATCCTTGCCGAGGTACTTCTTCATCACAACTTGGAAGTCCTGCTCGTCCACCACCGCACCAGAGCCGGAACATTTTGCTTTCTTCTGCAGGTCAGAACAAAGGCCGTCCAGGTCGAAGTCGCCGTTCTGCACTCTGGGACAGTTTTGGAGGGTTTCCCTGCAGCCTCTGTTAGCTACGCTTCTGCCATAGACACTTGCCACCATTGCGTACCATATCTTATTGCATGTGAGAAGCTGGCCGGGGGTAGCTGTGTCATCAGATTCCTTGGCTGCATCGATTTGTGCAATGAGTCCCTTCTTGGGAGCCGTGAGGGGGAGGTTGTATGGTGTCGTAAAATCCACATCAAAGGCATCATTGAAAAAAGAATCGTCGAGGCCGTTCGTCAGTACATTTTCTTGCGGCTCGCGGTAGTCTCCAAAGAGCTGAGGATCAAACTGGAAATCTTGAGGCAGCCAGTTGAAGTCCGGAACATTCAAGTTGGAGAACTGGTCAAAATCTGCGGGAGGCTTAGTTGGAAGTTCTGAAGGCAAGGGGCGAATATGTGCTTGGAATATGATGGGATGCTCAGTTGGTCAGGGGCGGCGTGGAAATATGCTTCATACCTGGTGAGTTCCCAAGGTTTGACTCCTCACCGATCGTCGTCAAGGTATCAATTGGCTTGAAACCCATGGGGGATTGTGTGAGTGGCTCTGGCGAAGTGCCGCACGAGGAGCTTGCGCCCATATTGGAATTAGACGAAGCGGACGGGGAGCTGGTCGACATGGCGCCGGTCAGGCCAAAATTGGAATCACCGCTGCCCCTTGATGCCTGGGCAATGTTCTGGTTGGTGAGAGGAGCAGAGAAGAGACTCGCCGAGAAGCTTGACAGATCGTCGCTGGATGAATTTTGATTGTAGGTGCCCGAGTTGGCTCTGGAGGATGTCGTCGGCTTCTCAGTTGGGCTGAGCTGGCCGCGGCTACCTTGCTTCGAGGGCGGCGATGTCTTGGGCTCTGTCGTACTGGATGTTCCTTGTAGACCGAATTTGGGGAACTCAAACTGGAAGTTGACATCGTTGATACCACGAGTAAGCGGAGCACCGAATGGGCCGATTGGGCCTGCGCCGCGGGCGGTGCTTGGCATATTGGAAAGTCGTTTCTTGTACTCGTTGAGCTCGACGGTCATCTTATCGACCTTGGCGCGCAGCAGCTCATTCTCGTGGTTAGCCGCCTGAGAGGCTTGCTCGAGTTCCTCGACCTTGGTCTCCAAATCTTTGAGGTGCTTTTCTTTACGCTCACGAAATGCCCGCTGCGCAGCACGATTTTGAGCCTTCCGCTTCTATTCAAGATGTTAGTTACTGTTCTTGCCTTACCATAGCCTATCTGAGAATCAAACTTACCGAACTCGGCTCGGTGGTGAGTGGCTTCCTGCCGGGCTTCTTTGCGACCTTGTCCTCGCTCTCTCGTCTTTTTGCTCCATTGGGCTCCTCCTCATCGTCGTCGTCTGGGTGGCTCCTCTTATCGGGTGACTCGGTCTCGGCGGATTCAGACCTGCCGTTGACCGACGAGCCCGGGAGATCGCCGATCATCCTGGGCTGCTCGATGTTGTCCATCGAGTAGTCGAAACTAGAGTCGGCTCCAGTGAAGTCGTAATCATAGTCGAGATCCGGGCTGTTCTGAAAGCTTCCCATCTTGTCAAGGCCTAGCGACGGGGATGCATTGAACGACATGGGAGACAGGCCGACGGCGGCAGAGTTGGTCTGATTGTTCGCCGTCCGGTTGGAATTGAGAGCAGCATACAGCAAGTTCTGCTGCTGCGGGGTGAGGATGAAGTTCGACAGCGGGTTCTTTGTCGACGTCATCTTGATTGACTCGCGCGGTCGCGGCGAACGTCACAGGAAAATCGATGGCAGTTTACGATCTGAAGAAATATCAGACGAGGTTGTCGCAGCAAAGGGCTTTGGTAGAATGTGCAGGCAAGATCGTTGGAAGAGGGTGGCGCCAAGTGGTGCAGATGATGGAAGTGGACGAGGTGCGCCCTGCTTGTTCCGCCACCGCGGGGTTCTCAACAGCTGGCGACGACGGGACGGGACCGTTGGGCCAACAAAGAGCGATACGATGCGGGGGGATAAAGACGTTCGAGGTGGTTTTGCAAGTGCAGGAGAGAGGATCACTTGGTACGAAGAGTGGTGGATTGCAAGAAACCGCCACGCAAGCCAAAAGTCGCCTCCCAAGAGACCTGGCAAGCTTCGACGTGGTCGGGTGTGGATGAGTAGAAGGTTTGGCCCGATGGGATGTGAGATAGGAGAAAAAACTTGCGGCCTTTTCGCCTGAATTTTTGCCTGACTCACTCACCTAGACCCGAGCTTTCCTTCTTTGAGCAGAGCTGGAAACCAAGGCAAATTCGAGGCTGGGACTCGGCGAGATAGGCTTTGGTCGAGTTCAGGTTCTGGTGTCAGACGAAGGGCTCGTTGGAAATGGGGGGCAGGAGGGGGTTGAGCGGGTTCAATTTGTCAGCTGCATGGAAACTGGCCGACACCAACGGCTCCCGGCGTGACCAGTACCTAGGTCCGTGCGCCCAACCCCGGATAGGAATTTGAGGCGGCTAAGTCCGCCCGACTTCCGAGCTCCGATCATCATCGACATTCATGATAATAATATCTGCCTGCTCAAGCTCAGCACAGAAATTTCAGTTCTGGCTCATCCGTCTTCCACCCCCCAGAATGTTCTGTGCCTGTTGTCCGTCGGAGGCGTTCGAAACTCGCTCTTGTTACACCAATTCCTGACAGAGGTTAGTGTCCCGCTAAGAGCCCAAGGAGCGGAACTGAAGCCGTTGAGGGCTGAGTCAGGCCCTTGTCATGAGCGCGTGGAATAGCCAACGGCCAACCGCTCCTATCAACCAGACACTTTAGAGCTGCCTGAAATCCACCATCCCACTCTACTACGGCCGATACCTAGAGCACATGTGCGCTGGGCAATGCAAGGGCGAAAAGGGGTCCGGGGGGGAATGGAATTCCGCAGCTTTTCGGACCTACATAGCGTTCCTGACACGAGGCCAAGATTCCAGAAAACGCGCCGCTGATGCCCTCTGTTCAAGGTGAGGCTGTACTGTTTCCCCACGCCACTTCTTACCACACACACAGACACAGCCTCGCAGGATAACTATGTGGCATCGGGTGGGGAGTTCAAGGAGAAAGAACCAAGGTTCGGCCCAGCAAAAGGAGCCCCTGACCGGCGTGGAAGACGAATTGGTACCTAGTTATTGGTTAGGGGATATGGGCCTCAGAGGTCCTGGATCTGGAAACATTTCTTCAAAGCCTTGCCAGATTTTCATGATGCCGTTCTCATGCAAGCACTTACGGCACTGTGGTTTGCATTGGTGGGATGTTTTTCGTGTCTCCACTGGAGCGGCAGGAACTTGGCCGGGGGCAGTGGACTCTGCGCGCTGAGGCAAGATGAAGGTAGGTGCAAACTTTCAGATGAGTGCAGGATTGAAACTGGCAACTGGGGACAGTATCAAAATCCTCGAGTCTGAACGCATCGTCACTTGTGATGAGTTGAGAGTCCTCGACGAATGCGGCTCACTGCTTGGGAGACGAAACGGTGACAATGGCCCGTGCGCGCCTCCCCGCATTGGCAACGCCGACGCCATCATCCAGGTCAATCAGATCGCCTTGTCCAAACTTTAAACGAACGGTGTGAGTCTCATGTGACGACACCTGGCGTTGCGCAGG